CTAATTACATTTATAATAGCATTTAAAAAAGTAAATGCTTAGGTAAAATTTAACCAAGGAGGGCAAGACTTGTACACTGAAAACAAAACAAAACAAAATATTGCTGAAAGAAATCAAAGGGCTAAATAAATGGAAAGATACTCTGTGACTGTAGATTGGAAGACTTACTATTGTTAAGATGGCTATCTTCCCCAAACAGATCTACAGATTTAACACACTCTCCACCAAAATCTTAATGGCCTTTTTAGCAGAAATAGAAATATTCATCCTAAAATTCATATGGAATTTCAAGGTATTCCAAATAGCCAAAACAATCCTGAAAAAGAAGAACAAAATTGGAGGTCACACACTTCCTGAGTGCAAAACTTACTACAAAGCCACAGTAACCAAAACACTTCCATTGCTCTAAAAAGTTCCCTTATGCCCCCTTGGCAGTGAGTCATTCTCTATTCCAGCCCCAGGCAACCACTGATTTGCTTTTGTCATAGTTCTGCCTTGTCTGGGATTTCACAGAAATGCAATCATACAGTATGTAGTCATTTCTGTCTGGCTTTGACTTAGCATGATGTTTTGAAGATTCATTCATGCCATTACACATACGAGTAGTTCATTCCTCTCTGTTGTTGAGTAGTGCTCCATCATCATATGGATATATTAGCATTTTATCTGTTCATCAGTTGATGGACATTTGGGTTATTTCCAGGTTTGGCTTTTTTGTTGTTGTTGTTTTGTTTCCTTTCTTCTCTACAGTTTCATTTTGCGGTATCAAGGTCTAGATTTCATGTATCCCATTTGCAACTAATTGGAATTCTTGAATCTGTGGATTGGTGATTTTTGCCCGTTGTGAAAAAGTGCCTTTTTGGATATTTCCTCTGCTCTCTTCTCTCTCCCTTTCCCTTCTAGAACTTCATTAGATGCTTGTTAAACCTCTTCCTATCCTCCATGTTTCTAATCTTTCTTCCATTATTACCTTTTTGTCTCTCTGTACTGCATTCTGGATAATTTCTTTAGTATTACCTTCCAATACAAATATTTTCTCTTCTTGATCTACCCCTAATATTTCTAGGACCCTGGAAAAAAGTACAAATGAAAGGACACATACTATAGAGACACATTTAAAAGTCAGAAATCAAACTAACAAAAAATTAAATAAAATATATTCCTTCCTCCTATCTTGACAAAAACCAGGTTTGAATTTAAAATTCTTGGATACCTAGAGCTCTGCCCTATAATATGGTGGCACAGGGAATGCTGACTCCTAACTGCTAACTCCAAACCCCTCTCTTTTATCCTCAGCTCCATTCCATACTGCAACGGCCATTGAATGTACACACTTAGGCAGCCAACCTACAAATCCAAGTCCCATCATAGTCCTATGAGAGCCATTTCTTGGCCACCCCCTGAGAGTGCAGGCCACCCCCTGAGAGTGCAGGCTACCCTCAGGAGGAGAGACCTGGAGAAGAGGTCTCCATAAGGAACTGGAAGCAGGCTTGGGATGATTTGCGGTGGCAATTTCAGGGTCCCTGATGTCAGAAGTATGATCTCTAAGGGGGCATATAGATTTCATATGAATGGCCATATCCTTAGCCATTCATATTCCTTGGGGCTGCATAAAGGCCAGAGCTGACTCCAAAGTACAGGGCCCAAGATTTGGTATAAGGGTAGTACTGCCCTCTTTAGCTATGTTCAACTCATCTCTTGAGTCTTTTATTTTAGTTAGTATATTGTTAATTTCCAGTTGATCTAGTTGGTTCTTTTTAAAATCTGCTGTTTCAGTCATATTTTTAGTTCTTTTATCTTTTATAATAGTTAACCATATTTATTTTATATCCTGTGTCTGATATTCTAATATCAGAAGTCTTTGTGGGTCTTATTCTGGTATCTGTTGTTTTGGTTGGTTGGCTCTTGCTTTTGGTGCCTCGTTTGTGTGTTTTGTGATTTTTGAGCTCATATTTCTTGAAACTTTTCCATGTAGAATTCTTCAAAGTGTTGAATTCTTCAAAGCTTGGAATAAGAGGAGCCCCTCCAAAAAGATTCGTGTTTGCTTCTCCCAGGCACCTGAGTACATGATAAGTCTGGATAACTTTAAATCACATTTTCAGCCCATGTTTTTATGAACCATCCAGGTACTGAAATTTCAGGCTGAAAAGCCATGTGAGGGCCCACCTGTGATTGCACATTCTCATAAATTTGCCTCCTCATTCCCATTCCATCAGTGCCAAAGTTGCTAGGCATTTCTTCAGGAGTGGCGGTAGATTTCTTACATCAAGGATGTATTCTGAGGTTTCCTTTTGAAATAGCAGTCTAGAGTAGGCCTTGGGCTTTGTCTCTTGTGGTCTCCTGCCTACAAGCTATGAAAATTCACCAAGTTAGGCATATGCCATCTAGGTTCCCACCTTCTTTTGTCCTAAGTACTCTTTACTTTCTTGCCAGCTCATTAAAGCAAAAAGGAAGGTACTTTATCCTGCATTTTTAATTCTTTTCAGGAGGAAGGCCAACTGGGGTACCTAACCTGCTTTACTGTTCTAAAACCTTAACATTTCTCCAGTCTATTTTTCTTAATTCCCACCGTAAATGCATTGGCTCATACACAAGTAGTTTCTGGCTCCATCCAAAAACCTTCCAAGTATATTCCCTGCTTCTAGTCTCTACCCTGCCTCTTCTCTCCATCTCCCATCCCTTCAATGAAGCTGTATCAGTTAGGGTCTCAGCAAGAAACAGAGTTTACCCAGAGTTCAAATAAAGATACTTTGATGAAAGGACCAGTTACAGAAGGGCTGACAGAGTAAGTGAGCAAATTAGAGTTGATGAGGCACTTGGAGACTAGCTACAGAGGGGATGCTAAAGAGACAAAAGGAGAAAATAAAGTTTCCAGAGCCCAGTGAAAGGTAAAGCCATGGAGGAGGGGCCACTTGCAAGAGCTGTAGCCAGGAAGGAATGAAGCTACTATTGGAGCTATAACATCAACGGAAGGAAGAAGTAGAGAAGAGAAGCCAAATTTCACCTTCCATCTGCCTTCTGATAGAGCAGAAAATGCTTAAGCCTCTCATTAGGCAAACCCAACTACAGGGGAGTCATCAAAGAAGCTGAGGTCACTCCCCAGAGGCATAAAGGTTGGCAAAGAAGGGTAGGAAATGAGTCTAAGGGCCAAAAATATCATCATATCAGACTTTTTTCAGACCACTTTGAAGGGTCAATGTCTAATATGCTAAACTCATCATACCATCCTCCTATTTAAAATCTGTCAGTGGATTCACATAATCTTCAGGACTCTAAACTGGGATATGTGACTTTGCCCCTGCTTGTGACTTCATTCCCTTGTTCTTGCCCTAGCCTGCAGCCGTTTTGAATTATTTCCAGATTTTCCAGTAGTCCATGCTCTCATATTATGTACACTGGCCACATTCCTTCCTCTTCCTAAGGCAACTTTCCGCATCTTCTTTGCTTGGTTAACTACTATTCAGTCTCTCAAAATCAAAGATTGAGCTCTGGAATCACCTCCTTCTGAAAATTTTCTTTTCCAGAGTGTTTCCATCACTTCCCTACTGAATCTCATAGCAATATTTAGGTGAACTGAGTGTCCTGATAGAGATATGCATTTTAGCTCTTACATACATCTCACCCAGTACCATTCCTGGCACATGGTAGGCAATCAATAACAAGTTTTCAAATTAATAAATGAAAACTAAATATTACAAAAGAAGAAAGAAAACAAAAAGGAGTACAGTGTATGGTGATTAACATAACATAATTAAAAAAAGGAGTACAGTTATGGGGCTCTTTGAAATTTTAGGTTATGGGGAAAAGTCTTGAAATTGATTCTCAAATTTATTTCTGAGATATTTATCTTGTATATAGGCAGGGTAAGATAAGGAAAACACTAGGCACAGGCCTAAGGACTTAGAATTTGAATCCTAAAGGTTAATCCTAGATTTGGGCAATGTTGCTCTAGACTATAAGAAAGACATTGCTTTGGTGTTAGCTTTAATTATTTCCAAATAATGCTTTATTTAAATAAGAAAATTTAAAATGTGTATTGACCCATAAATTTCTGGTAAATTCATAATCCAATAACTTTTCCTTTTTTGTATATTAAAACACCTAACAACAGTGGAAATCATTCTTGCTTGGTTTCAATAGTATAAAATGATTGATTTCAATAGCGTAAAATTCTCTTTTCAAAAATTCTTGAGAGAAAATCAAAATGCTACCTACCACACTGCAACAAAGTACTGAAGAATTATTTGCAATGCTGAAAAACATTTATCTATTTATTTATTCCAATAGTAATCATTTTATTTGTAGTCTCAAATGAATATTCCATGTGTACATGATGAAACTAAGGAGAAATAGGGTAATTAGAAGTCTTTATTGCTGGGGTGCCTGGGTGGCTCAGTTGGTTGGACCACCTGACTCTAGACTTTAGCTCAGATTTTGATCTCATGGTGCTGAGTTCAGGTCCAGCATTGGGCTCCACACCTACTTAAAAAAAGTTTTTATTGCTAATTTTCATAACTGTAACACTCCAGCTAAGCAAGTTTACAATTTCACGAGATTCCTAGTAAAAACTGAGTAAAGACTTCCAAATCTTTTTCTAATTAAAGGCAAATGGTCACATTTCTGACAGAATGGGTTACACAACATTTTCAAAATTTAGTTTTATATTTTAGCTATTGCCTAAGATGCCACATGAAACGTCTATAAGGCATTTTTTCTTAAATTGGTGTATATATCTAAAAAAATGTTCTTCACGTGCAGTGTGATACGTAAGTTCACCACGGGAAAATAACCCTTCTCAAAATCCGGCCAATGTTGAGTCAGAGATCTTAATATATAACACATACAACATTGTGAGCACTGACCAGAGGACCAGAATACGTTAAAGGGAAGTGCTGGAAGCTTCTCTTTGGAATACTGAAGATAGAAGGCCTTGAAGTGGGAAACCGCAAGCCTAGAAAACACTACACGTCCCAGCATACTTTGCGACTACCATTGACCGTAACTCCCAGAATGCATTGCTCGAGGCACGCAGGTTTCCCTTGTAGCTGGGGATTGTAGTTCTCTCTGGTCTTGTCACTCTGTAAGGCGAGAGTGGTGTGGTTGCTTACCTAGCCGGAGGACATCAGGCGTATTCTTCCAGTTTTTGGCAAAGTGGAAACACTTCGGGCCCCTAGGCTGACTGGGTTCTTTGTCTTATCTTTTGGTTTCTACTTTACACAGGTAAGTTACGGAGAGGCGGCAATTCACGCAGCACGGCCCCACCCTTCTTTCCCGGAGCGACCTCGTTCTGGTGAAGTTATTTGTCCCTAAGCTCTCGCCGTAGTAGCCGCCGCCCAACCCTCTTTGTGTGCTTCGCGAAGCCGCGGAGCTGGTGGCGGCGACTCTTGGGAGTTGGGAGTGAAGGAGAGGGACGTTACCCGGACGTTGCAGGCGGGCGGACTCTTTTTCCCATCACGCCAGCTGGCAGGTGGGTTGACTGTGCTTCCCTCCAGGCTTTTCTGCCTGCTGTGTCTCACGTCCCGGCTCAAAGGGCGGTTTGGCAGTTTCTGCTGACAGCGCTGCCCGGCCCGGCTCCTGAAGGGGAGAGGCGGGGAGAGACAGGTGCGGTGACTCAGGAAAGCCGGGGGGGGAGAGGAGATCACTCGCTTCCCTTCTTGACCCACCGGAGGATGGCCCGCGGAGCCTCGAGGCTTGCTCGGCGCCCTGTGGGCCCCCCTCTCCCAGACGCCCTATCATGGACCGCGCCCTCTTAGTGGTGACCTCAGGAAAAGTGACTCTTTTTCGCCTTGCTCCATTTTATAAATAAAAGTCATTCCTACATGGCGTTGACAGCGCCTTCCCTCCCCGTGTATGTTGGAAAGTACCCGAACGTGGAGGCTATAAAACAAAATGACAGAGGCTTTCTCTTCCTTGTAGTTTTGAGAAAGTGAACTTGTCAGTCACGGAGCTTCCGGCCTGGGAGGATGAGCCGGTCGGACTTTGCTGTTGGGCTTTGACTTAAAGTATACTTACTTTAAATATATTTGATAGTTAATGATGGTAAATTTTGTGTTTTGCTTGTCCTGAATATTATTAGTATTACACATTATTTACGGGAATTTTGTCTGACCGCATATTTTTTTAATCAAATTTCTAGGGATGAATGCAAAACTCTGGTAATAGATTTGATCTGTGTCATATAGCCTAAGAGCTCTTTAATGCCAACCCATGTCCTCTGTTTTAAGAGTCAGAGACATTGTGTTAAATCTGGGCATGTGAACATTAAGGAGCTTACTGTATGCTAGCTACTTTGTTCAACTCTGAATATTTGTATACATTTCTTTATAATGTTATTCAAATCTTAGTAATATATTATGCTTCCATATTTAAAAATTAGAATTTATATGTTGTCTTTCGATAGCAGTGAACTACAGGCCTCGAGATAATTCTCTTCTTGAAGACTAATTTTTTTTAAAAGAGCGCTACTTTTACCAACCTAATGGTGATTATAAACGATTATGTTTTTTAAGGTCACAAACATGTCGGACAAAAGTGAATTAAAGGCAGAGTTGGAACGAAAGAAGCAGCGGTTGGCCCAAATTAGAGAGGAAAAGAAGAGAAAAGAAGAAGAAAGGAAGAAAAAGGAAGTATGTTTTATTTTTTTTAAGTAAACAATGTAAAATAATTGGGTTTAATATCAAATCCTTATACCCTTATGTAATACCTTCAGAATAGTTAAAAATCGAGCAGTTGTGACTGCAAATATAGCACTGTAGGTGAATTTTACTTTAAAGAAACCAGGTATGTGAAAATGACAAAATTGATAAAATATGATTTTTGTTACTGAATAAAAATATTTCATATAGATTGATGCATTTTGAGGATTTGGTTTATAAAAGTTCAATTTACATATTTCTCTTCTAGGCATATGTTTATTATATAAAGTAAGGGACATCTGCCTTGTAATAGCTCATAAAACATGGCATATATATCATAACTTAGTTTGGAATTTGAATTTACTTATCTGAATGTTTTGCTAGCCTGCACTGCTAACAGTTTGTCAGAATAAATAATAGAAAAGAGAAATATATAATAGATTATTTAAGTGATTAGGGAATTTGTTATCTCTTTCATCATGAAATATTTTCCTTGAAATATTTTTGCCAAGCAGTAGGTTTGATATTACCTTAAAGATAGACCAGATAGGTATGTCTTCTGATTTTTCACATCACCATTTCATCATGTATGGCAAATATACATTGACCCTGAGCTGGAGATATTTTACTTGTTCCTGTATTGATATGTACATTTTTCCCAACTATTTGGACAGATTTGTATACTTTTACCACAGATATATTTTAAATGGTCAGTGTAAGATAATGTTTCCTAAGTGTTACATTAGTACCAAGGTTTCTGTTTGCTAGCCAATAGCCAGGACTTCTAGAAATCTCTTAAGGGAAAAGAAAAATCAGAAAAAATTGAATCACAGACCGGTACCCCTGAAACAAATAATACATTATATGTTAATTAAAAAAAGAAAAATCGAAAGTACAATTTTTGTACAGCATTGCTATGATGCTGTAAAAGCCTTTGAAGAATTTTCTCATTTATTCTGAACCTTTCTGTGATACATTATTGTAAGACCGTTGGAGGTTTAAGTTAGCTGTTTGATTAAAAGTTAACTGATAGAAACATGAGTCCAATAGGCAGAGCCATTCCAAAGTAGTATCTACAGCCTTAAACCCTTCAGTGCAGAGAGCATATTTGATTTTTGTTTTCTAAGGATGGCCATAAGTGGCATAAATAGCCTAGGGATATCTACTACATGATTTACAGCTGATTTAAAAGTTATAAAACATTACAAGAGATAATTTAATAGTATTAAACAATGAGTCTACTAATACATTGCTATATAATACAGGTAAAGTGTCAACTTCATAATACAGCCTGTTTAGCTATTTTGGTGAAGTTCACGGATGACTTTTTTTTTAAATGGTACCATAGAATATTATGATTGACAAAATTCACTACAGATAATTGTGTGAGTAATAGTTGTCTAGGCAAAACAGGGCATCTGAGCCTATTTTGTATATATAAAACTTTTTCTTTGAAGGCTTAAATTTCATTTGAGATGTTTTGGATGATCTGAGGTTATTGAGGCTTATCTCGTTTACCTGGAAGATTTTGCTAAAACTATAGGTGACTGAAATAAAAGCTGGCAATAATTTTGATAACAAATGTTTTGTGTTGTGCGAAAGTGAATTTTAACTTTACTAAATTCAACCATGTTTTTATTATCATAAAAATAAGACCTATAATTTAAAAATAAAAATAAAAACCTTTCTCCAGATGAATTTTTGACAAACATTCTCTACATAAAACTGCATAAATACAATGAAGACTTCATACAGAAGTTTGAGGTATTCATACTGGATTTTCAACAAATCACATTGTCCATTTACTTAAAACTTGTTACCTGTTAAATAATTTTTTTATAGTGTTGTGATACTTATATCTAAGCTTTTGTGCCACTGGGGGAGGTTTCCACCATTCCTAACTGTGGATAGCAATTTCATACTGTAGATAAATAGAAGTTGACTGTACTTTTTGAATTTATTAGGTAAAAACTTTTGTGGGAACTCCTTGATTACATATCATTTGGAGATTACTTACTAGAACTCTATTGAGAATGGTTTTCACTTAATGAGTATTATATGTGTTCAAAACTAAGTCAACCCCCCCCAGAGTAAGCAGTGTTAGCACATTATTTAAAATACACTTTTTTGGCAAGCAGAAATGTTTCATATCCTATGTAAATTTAAATTTTTAACTTTAAAAATAGACTGATCAGAAGAAGGAAGCAGTTGCGCCTGTGCAAGAAGAATCAGATCTTGAAAAAAAAAGAAGAGAAGCTGAAGCATTGCTTCAAAGCATGGGGCTAACTCCAGAATCCCCCATTGGTAAGGATAAGAATATATCCATTTATAAGAGCCAAGAATAGATGCTATTCAGCTCAGACATATCTGAGATGAATGTGTTGACTTTAATATATTTTGCATATTTTTCTTATTTGTGTCTCTTAAAAATGATTTATCTTATACTTTATTCAGAATTATCTTTTTTCACATGTGCCAATACATGGTTATTTTGTTTGTTTAAGAGAGCTGCAAGATTAAGTGCATTTATTAACATACACTGAACAACCAATTGACTTTTCTTGTTAAATCAGTAATTTATTTCAACATTTGTTGAACAAGTTTTCTGTGCCATACTGTATTTAGCTCAAAGATGACTGATTCCTGATCTTAACTCTATATTTTTTTCTGTAGGTTAAAGAGAGGTATAATGAATCAAAGTTCTAGAAGTATATTAGTTTCAAAGGTATAGGAGTGGAAGGAAAAAATAACCTTCTGCCCTCACTGCTAATAACGGAAATAATATTGGTAGCCTCTTTTGGCAGCAATTTGACTTGTTCTTTTTTGGGCCATTCATTTTGATAACAGTACTGAACCAAAAAGCTGAAATAGTAGAGGTACTGAAGACAGTCTAGTTCATGTCAGAAAGCATTAAACACTTAAAATAATTCTGACCTGGATATTGTTACATAGTATTTTAATTTGACATGGCCTTTGTCATTTAGGCTAATTCCATCTGGCTCAGGGGACAAATACCAGAAGTAGTAACTGCTGTTTGCCTGTTGTGAACTACAACATAACTATTTCTAGAGCTGATATTTCTAAAAGGTTTCAAGATGAAAAAACTGGTTACTCTCATGGTCTGCTTCATTGTTATTTCTTTCACCTCATTTGCCTTTTCCCTAATGGTAGAATTTGAAGATTGAAATACATTTATATGTCTTTATTTAATAAGTTTACATTCATATTACAATTTTAAAAGTAAATGCATCAGAACAGTATTGTTAATAACATAGTAACTAAACCAAGTTGCTTAATAGTTGTATAGTCTTTGATAGTTTTTCTGTCATTGGCTTCGTTTTCCTCCCAGAGGAATTTTTTTTCCTTTTCTATTTTTAGGATTTCAGTTTCACTGAATTCACTTGTTCATATTTCTCAGTTCATGGCCCTCCTCCATTATCGAGTCTTAAAAGACTGTTCTTCGGGCAGTGGGGGGAGGTGTGAGTGTGTATGTTTCTTCCTCATTCCCCATCTGCAGTTCCATTCCACTTCCCAGTCTTGCATTAAGTACCATTCTTGCATTTTTAACATATGTCCTTTTGATCTGTCCTACATGTGTTTACATATTTCAAGGTTTCATATATATATATATATATGTGTGTGCATATACGTTTTATACACATAAACGACATTGTGTTATATGTATCATTCTGTTTGTATCTTTTTGGCAAGCAGCATTTGAGACCTGCCCATGTTGCTGAATACTGATCTAGTTATTTATTTTTGACTGATGCATAATATTCCATTATATACCATATTTTACTTATCTGTTCCCCAAGTGATATAGGCATTTAGATTGCTTCCATCTCTTTGCTATCACAGTCATCACTGCAAAGAATATATACTTTCCCTTTGAGAACTGTGGAAGAGTTTCTCTGGGGTGTATGCCTAAGAATTGACTTGCTGTGTTACTGTGTATAAGCTTACTTACATTTATTAGATTCTACGTACCACTCTCAAGAATGACTACAAGTTTACCCTCTTAATGCTAGTGATGAGAAAGTAACTATTTTACCACATCCACATCATCACCTGATTTTCTCCAACTTTCCAATTTTTGCCAACTTGATGGGTATAAAGTGGTATACCAAAATGTTTTAATATAAATTCATCTGTTTACAGTGAGGTTGACCATTTCTCAAATATCTATTATTTTCTCTTCTATGAATTGCATATTCATATCTGTAGCCCATTTACAATTAGAGTTTTTTATCTTGCTGTAGGAGTTCCTTGTATATTTTAGAGGAGGACTTCTTTGTTCTAGTTTTTTTAAAAAAAACCTTCTCCCAGTCTATTACCTGTTAACTCTATTTATAGCATCTTTCATTGAACCTAATTCTTCATTTTAATATGTTCAAATCCTTCATTTTGATAATAGTCAGGCCTGCCAATTATAACCCTTTTTTGTGCTTTTTGGTCTTTTTTTTTTTTCTTTTAAGAAATCCTTTCTTTGAAGACACAATATTATATTTTCCTACATTTTTTCTGTTAGGCTTTATAGTTTCAGCCTTCACCTTTAGACGTTTGGGTTATATTTTTGAATATAGCATGAGGTAGGGATCCAATCTAGTTTTTCTCCATATAGTTAGCTAATTTTGTCAGTGCTGTTTATTAAATAGTCCATCCTTTCCCTCACTGATTCTGATGCCAACTTTGTCATACAGTTTCCATATATCCATGATATTTCTGGGCTCTGTATTTTCACTGTTATCTAATTTGTTTGATTCTATATTATTAAACCACAGTTTCAATTACTATGGCTTTGTATTCTATGTAATTTTCTTGTACTGTCCACGTTCATTGGCCATAATGGTTATGATTTTAAAATAAATTGGAGGGCTTTCCCTTTTGATATTTTGTAGAACAGCTTGTAAAGAGTAGATGTTACCTGTTCCTTTAAAACCTGGTAGAATTCAACCGTAAAACTGCCTGGGATTACAACTTTTTTTTTCCAGGGGATAGTTGAAAGCGGAGGTTATTCACCATTTCAAGTCTCTTTTTAAGGTTATAGTCTATTCAAGTTTTCTATTTATTTTTGTATTGGTTTGATTTTTTTAAAACAATAATAAATATTTATTCTCTCTCACAGTTTCTGCCTATCAGGAATTTGGTAGTGGTTTAGCTGAGTGGTTGTGGCTCAGGGTGTCTCATGGCATTGAAGTCAAGATGGCAGTCAGAGCTGCAGTCATCTGAAGACTTGCCTGCTGCTAGGATTTGCTTTCAAGGTGCTTCACTCACATAGCTGGCAAGTTGGTGTTGGCTGTTGTTGGTGGAAGGCCTGAGTTCCTATCCACATGGGCCACTCCACAGAACTGCTGGAGTATCCTTGCAGAATGTCAGGTTCTTCAGAGTGAGCAATCCAAAGATAAAGACAGCCAGGAAAAAGCTATTATTTTTATGGCTTACTCTTGGGAGTCATCAGTTCCACTGCATTCTTCTGTTGATTGGAATTCACAAAGAATATGGACATTCTTTAAAACTGCCAGAATATTTGCAACAAATTCATAGGTCTCTTCATATTTTGAGATGATCATATGCTTTTTTTTTCTTTTAATGTATTAATTTGATGATTTATAATGATAGCTTTTCTAATGTAAAAGCATCTTACATTCTGGAACAAACAACTTAGTTACGAGATGATTTTTTTCTTATGCATTGCTGAATTCATTTGCAAGTATTTTGTTTAGGAGTTCTTCATCTATACTCATAAGAGAACCATGCCTGTAATTTTTTCCCTTTTATTATATCTTGTCTGGCCATTATAGTAGATATAGTGGTTATAGTAGCCATATTAAAGAAGTTGTGTGGTTTTCACCTTTTTCTATTCTCTGACAGATTCCTAAAGATCTTTCCAGTATTTTTTTTTTTTAATTAGGCTTGAAGAATACAGGATACAGATGAAGGCAGTGTCTACCAAACTTTCTTGACAGTAAACCAAAATAAAAAATACATTTTATATCATGACCCAGGATGGGTACTTGTTTTTCTTTTCACTACAGAATGTATTTAGTAAATATCTTTAAATTATAGAAGTGTAAAAATACTACTAGAATATTCAAGAGGATTTATTAAAAACATCAATCTCTTCTTTTCCTAAAAGAGAACTTTTTCTTTTTTTTAATTCTGAAAAGAATGTTTTTTAAAAAAGATATAGCTAATAAAATCTCTTTTAGCTTCTCATCATTGGTAGATTCTTATTTATTTGGTAATTGATTGCTTTTTGTCAGAGATCCTTGAGAGCAGAGAAAATCACATTTTCATCCCTGGTGTCCAGCACAGACTAGACACTTAAATGTTTGTTCAATTATTATTAGGTTGTATGTCTTTCTACCTTGTAAGGCCAAATAAAAGCCATCTGCTTTAAAAGCAAAAACAAAATCTGATTGTTTAAATTTCAGAAAAAAACGTAGTGGAAATTGAAATTTGAACATTTCATAAAAGAAGCATGGCTTTTTTTTTTTTTTTTTTTTTTTTTTTTAAGATCTATGTCATTACCCGGCTTCAATAACAGGAATTTTAGGTACAACTTTCAAGACATGTTATATCCAGTGTGGAGTTCTTAAGCATTGATGATTGAAAAAAATAAAGTGAATCTCTTTTGTATGTATAACTACTGTTTTAAACATCTTGTAAAGAGATGAAAACAGACACTGTCAAGTACTCTGTAGCCTGAGTCTGTATCAGTAGGGCACAGAACATTGATTAGTATGATAGTTTATTATCTGGATTTTCTTTTACTAGGAAAAAACAAAAGAACTTTGCTAGTCAAAAATAAATATTGCTTCATTTATTTCCCTCACATCCTTGTAACTTTTGAATACCTTAAATCTCATTTTTTCCTAGTTTTATTGAGAAATAATTGACATATATCACTATGTAAGTTTAAGGTATGTTGTATGATGTTTTGATTTACATATATTATAAAATAAATATAATAGGTTTAGTTAACATTCATCATCTTACAGATATACTAAGCAGGAAAAAATATTTCTTCTGATGACAACTTTTAACAATTTTCTTATGTATCATATAACAGTGTTAACTATAGTCTTCATGTTGTATGTTATATACCTAGGACTTATTTATCTTATAACTGGTAAATCTGATTTTTAGATGGAATGAATGCTTCCCATGCACCAAGTCATTTCTTCCAGTTTAGCCTAATTTTAACAAATTGTTCATTATAGTATTTTAATACCACAGAATTTTATTTTTATTTATTAATTTCTTTTAAAAAATTTATCTCGGGCACCTGGGTGGCTCAGTTGGTTAAGCGACTGCCTTCGGCTCAGGTCCTGATCCTGGAGTCCCGGGATCGAGTCCTGCATCGGGCTCCCTGCTCAGCAGGGAGTCTGCTTCTCCCTCTGACCCTCTTCCCTCTTGTGCTCTCTATCTCTCATTCTCTCTCTCTCAAATAAATAAATAAAATCTTTAAAAAAAAATTTATCTGATGCTCTGAATTACATTGAAGAGAATAAAGGAAATGAAACATTTAGAGATTAGTGGAGGATATTTAAACTTCATTACCAGGAGAAAGAGGCCATTGAAGGGGAGAAATTAATATTTAAGAGAGTTAAGGTTTAAAGCAGTACCTTTCAGGGCGCCTGGGTGGCTCAGATGTTAAGCCTCTGCCTTCCGCTCAGGTCACGATCCCAGGGTCCTGGGATCAAGTCCCACATCAGGCTCCCTGCTCAGCAGGAAGCCTGCTTCTCCCTCTCCCACTCCCCCTGCTTGTGTTCCTGCTCTCGCTGTGTCTCTCTGTCAAATAAATAAATAAAATTAAAAAAAAATAAAACAGTACCTTTGAGGACAAAAAGAGGAAGTTATGAAAGTTATTTAAATGTTATTATTCCAGGCTAAGAGTATCCACAAGGGGGCATTATTGTAGTGCGGGCTATGTTTGAGTATTAAGTATCCTAGATTAGCTAGAGGAGGCTTTACATCTTTGGGTTGGCTCAGAAGTTCACTCCTTCCATTTTACTGTCTCTACCAGCTTCTACTCCCTACATTCGCTTTCCTTGACTGTTCACCTTTTCTAGGTTCTTCTTCCTGGCAAAAGCCCCTTCTTGCCAGAGGCTTTCTTCTACTTGAAAAATAATTGTGCATCATCCTTCATCTCTAAGACGTTTGTGTAGTTCTGAGTAGTCATTTCAAACTTAATTCTAATCATAAATCTAGGTGGATTCCTAGGTGCTTTCTGGTTTAAAAATATTCTAGGTGTTCCTTTGCAGGCCAAAAGGCAGCAATGTTGATTTTAAATCCTTGGAAGGCCAAGATCTAAACTGGTAGGAAAGGCCTTCTTGATTGGGTTTTTGTTCCAGATAATTAAAGAGTCACAGTCTTTCAATATTACTTAACATGATCAGTGAATGCCATGGTGTAGATTTTTCAATTTACTCCATGTTTCTTGTCTGGTTCTCAAAGAAGGAAATAAGTATCTTTGCTCTAAACTTCTAGTAAGTTTAAATTTGTTCAAATATTCACATGTGTTAATGTTAAATCCTTTATTTTGTGCCTTTTAAAGCCTTGTTTTAGGCTCTTTTATAGATATAAAATATATATAAAATGATATATGTTTATATATATAACTGGAATAAAAGTAATGTGATTGAATCACTGTTCTTATTAAGCTGATTATATCTCAAGATACTTGGCAAAAGCTAATTAGTAATGGCTTTTGTTATTTTCAAAGCTGTTTGGACTCTAAAACCATCTTTACAAATGAATTCTAAAATTTAGTCTTTTTTGAGATTTGAGGGGCTATGAGTTCAGAGGTTTTTTTAACCTCCCTGAATGCATGCTCTTTGTTCTTGGGGGTTGTTTGTTGAATCTGGGAGTATGGTGGCATTGCCTTATTGTGCAATTACTGTAATCTTTGATTTTTCTAGACTCATTAGGTTGAAATATGGTAGTGACCAAACAATACTACCATTACCTTTTTTTCTGTTAATATTACTCCTTTTTCAATAATGGTAATTTTCTTTTTCTAGGTTTGTCTCTTCTGTAGTATACATTATTTATTATTGCAAGATGAAGTGGGTTAGCCAGATAATAACTTTGAGTCTTTAATGAGTCCTTTCTATAAACTGGCTTGAAAACTATCTTTTGTGAGAAATGATACAGTTCTGGGATGGAGATTTTTATTGAATTACAAATGTGATGCCATGGTGATTAACTTTGCTTCTGGCTGATAAACTATGATAATTTGGTAGCATCACCCCTGTAATTTATTTTTTATCTTGGGAACTTTTATTTCTGACACTTTTATTGGCTAGGTTAGTGTATTTATGTACATATAATTACTGTTTAATCTGTTTCCATAAAGAATTTGAGGCAACATTTTATTATAAAGTAGTTTTAACCAAGTAAGATACTATTTATTCTTGCATCAGTTGGGACTTAGTCTAGGGAAAGCCTCACATTGAGAAACAGACAAAAAGATGAAGAATATAGCCTAAAGGAAGTTAGGGGACATAATGTTCTTTTATTTTAGATACAAATCATAATTAGCTACTTTGAGTTGTACATGCAGCACCTAGTACAGTGCCATCCACCTGTGAACTATGTGAAGGTGATCTGGTTTTATCATTGTTTCTGAGAGATGTAGTCACAAAATTAGAAACATTCAATTAAGTTTTTACAGTCCTTTGGAACTTAAGCAAGAATTACTCACTATATCTCAGGAAACATTCTAGTTACGATTTTTTTTCTTCTAATCTTACTATTGGTTACCAATAGAATTTGCCATTGGAAAAATAAGGATGGTTAGTTTTGTACCTGTGTTTAAGATGTAATTCACCATGGGGCACCTGGCTAGCTCAGTCAGTACAGCCTGTGACTCAGGGTTGTGAGTTCACGCCTGACATTGAGTGTAGAGTTTACATTACCAAGAAAAAAGGAAAGGCAAAAGATGTAACTCATCATACTAAACTTGTACATTTTGTCAGATTAGCAAACCTACCTTTTTTATTGTATCATGTATAAACATTTAAATATAATTTTAAAGGTTCAATGAATGTGACTATCCCCAAACCATAGATTTTTAAATAAATACATAGTTCTTTATTTTTTTTTTTAACATTTTATTTATTTATTCATGAGAGACAGAGGGAGAGACAGAGAGAAGCAGAGGGAGAAGCAGGCTCCCAAGGAGCAGGGAGCCCGATGCGGGACTCGATCCCAGGACGCTGGGATCATGACCTGAGCCGAAGGCAGACGCTTAACCATCTGAGCCACCCAGGCGCCCAATACATAGTTCTTTAGATTAGTTCATTTATAATTAGGAACTTACCTTCTTTTCAGTAGACTATTAAAAGAAGGGCTTGCAGCTCAGCATAAAATGTGTTAGTCACTTAATATTACATACTGAAAGATTATTTTACAAAGATACTTGGGATTGGGGACATTTATGGTAAAATTTAACCAGAAGATGGCAGTGATGATCCTCCTATACTCCTGCAATGGTAATCAAAATGTTTTACAAATGTAATAGCATGAAATGTGCACGTTCAACTGTTGATATATAATGTTAAGAGTGATGATTTAGGGGAAAGCATTTGCTGTTTGTTTTATATACTATGAAAAATGTGTATTTTTCTATAAGAAGGGATTAAGAATATTTTGGGTGTCTGTATCTTTGTCTGTACACTTCAGTTTTTTCTGAATACTGGGGTAAGGAAGTTATCATAAGTCTTGCCTTGTTTAAGTTGCATGCATCATTTTATGTTATGCATCATGTCTAGAAGGCATGCTGTTTTATGGCCCGTTTGCATTTTTCACCCAAATTGCTGGAAACTAATGGACATTTTAAAGGAGCCATTCCTTTAGCTGTGGTCATTTTCTCTAAATTGGCCAAGGGGAAAATGAAATCATTTAAGGCATTAATTTCTGAAATAAAAATTGTTAGACAAAAATTAACATTTAAAAAAATCTCAGAAAACCAAGGGTAAGTGACTTTTGAAGGATATTTCAGAGTTTTGATTTTTGACAACAGTTATAAGTAATATTTATAATCTGGTGATCTTAAAAGTGAGAAGTTAGAAAGTGGGGGGGAAGGAATGCTCTCCTTTGAAAATTAGTACCCACATTTGATGTTGGCTGGGATGAAGATGCATCCTTTCATAATCTTGCTTTTTTTTTAATATAAAACCCAAATGCATTTTGCCAGAGAAATTGCATGAGTCGTCAGCATGCATTGTTAACTTTGTCTTTCTCCTCTTCTTTCTACTATTCATTTTCATTCATGTATTTTTGTTTTTTGGTTTGCCATTTTTTCTTTTTTGTTAATTACTTCATGTTAAATTACTTTTGAAACATCATAAGCTGAGCAACCTCTCCGTGTAGTAACAGCGGATACCTGTCTATTTCACTATTTAGTCCCTCCTCCTATGTCTCCATCCTCCAAATCTGTGAGCACACCGAGTGAAGCTGGAAGCCAAGACTCTGGAGATGGCGCAGTGGGATCTAGGTACAGTAAATTTCTTTTAATAGTTTAATGATAGAATGTATTTAGTGCCTACATGCTGTTGATGCTTTAGAGGAACTCTATAATATTTTGAAATCTAAGTGGCATAGAAATTATTTGTTTTAAATTAGGGGATTTTTTTAATAGTATCTTAACTGTCCCTCTTGATTAATTTAGACTGAATAGTTAACTGATTTCACACTAATTATTTTATATTAAAATAAAGATGTTAATTTAATTTTTTTCTGTTTAAGCATACTTCACAGGTTATTGTGTAAATGTTTTGTATGTATAATATAATATAAACAATGTAAATCATGTGTAAATAGTGTATGATAGTATAAAATAGTATAAATATAGTGTAAAATAGTTTATAAATAATGTAAAACTTCTGTTGTGCTTAATTGTCCATTCAGTAATTGAAAATCTAAACAATTCGGGTAAGTACTTCAATTGTGTTCTATTGAGTCACTAGTTCTAATTAAGATAGAAAATAATAGTGCATAAAATATCAAATAGAGATAACTGCTAAGGAAACAGTGTTTACTGTCTTGAGGGCGTTATGCTAAATGAAAGAAGTCAGAGAAAGACAAATACTGAATTATGTCACTTATGTGTGGAATGTAAAAAAAAAAACCCCAAAACCCAAAGAAATCCAAGCTCATAGATACAGAGAACAGATTGGTGGTTGCCAGATGTGGAGGATAGGGAATGGTCAAAATGGGTGAAGAGTTTCAAAAGAGTTACAAACTTCTAGTTATAAAATAAGTAAGTTCTGGGGATGTAATGTACAGCATCGCGACTACAGTTAATAATACTATATTGCATATTTGAAGATTGCTGAGAGAGTAGATCTTAAAAGTTCTTATCACAAGAAAAAAATACGTTTGTTAACTGTATATGCTGACACATGTTAACTAGAATTGTGGTGATCATTTCACAGTATATACAAATATCAAATCATTATTTTGTACACCTGAAAGTAATATAGTGTTATATGTCAATTATACCTCACTTAAAAAAAAATGTTTTCTGCCTAGTTTTCCCATACTCATGTCTTCCTTATAAAACTATATTTCATATTTGTTTTAGGATCCTGTACACATGTTGGGACTTGCTTTCCAAAAGTTCAGTAAGATTTCAGCCTCTCTCCAAAGATTGTCTTGGAGAAAGTACTTTTACTTATTCCTCTTTGTCACACACGTACCGCCCCCCGCTCCCCCCCCCACACAATAACAGCAAGTCTTTTAAAAACAGCATCATACTGTTTGATTCTTTGTGTCAGTTGAAATGAGATTAAACATAGTTAAAATCTTTATTCAGAATCCTTTATTTTGGGCAGGAAGTTAAATGTCCTCCTCAGAAAAATATCTTAACATACCTTAACATCTTAACATACCTCTTAATAAGAAATAAACTTGAGAAGTCTCATCTTCTTTGTGCCTAAGTTCCTCTGATTGAAGTTATAAATAAGTAATGAGTATCTAAAAGACAGCCAGAAAAAAGCAAGGAAGCTATATAATAAACTCGATATTTTAACCAATTCCTGAATAATCAGGTTATCATTAACAATTAGAAGACAAAAAAGTCTCACCAGTTTGGATTTGAGATGTATTTTCCAAAACTGTTTTGTAAATAGAACCAAAATTGCAAATCTAAGCTGTATTGTCATTGGAAGTGAATAATAAAACCATCATTTAAGAAAAATCAAAACTTTTTTTTAGAAATAATAGTACCTTATAAAATAGTATATATTCTAGATTAAAGGCTAAATTTATTTAGTCTGAACTCATTTTTAAGACTAAATTTGTTTCATACTTCATGCTTCTCTATTTTTGTACAAATATGTTAATATTCCTCTGCTAATAAGCAAGTGGTGTTTTCAAGAGAAGGCTTTTTTTCCCCTTCTACAGCTTTACTGTAGTACAAATATTTACCCGAAGAATTATTATATTTATTAAATTTAATTGTATTATAAATTATTTTTATGTAGATATTATACTGTGTTCATTTTGAACTCTGTTCTTGATTTTGAATAGTAGAAAGATTATTTTAAATGTTGCATCAGCAAGTTTGCTTTCAAAATTATGTAACATCTACTTGATTTTGTTCTTTTTTTTAAGATTTATTTATTTATTTGAGAGAGGGAGAGAGGGAGTGCAAGTGGGGGGGAAGGGTCAGAGGGAGAGAAACTGAAGCAGACTCCCCACTGAGTACAGAGCCCTGTCATGAGGCTTGATCCCATCACACCTGAGATCATGACCTGAGCCAAAACCAATAGTTGGATGCCCAACCAACTCAGCCGTCCAGGCACTTCCATCTACCTGGTTTTTGAAATTAATGTGAATTAGAACATGTCCTTCTGAGTTTCATTGGGAAACCTAGAGTTTATTAGAGACCCATGGGAATATTATGAATTGGTACAGGGAGTAAATACTGTTAAGATATTTATTTGTATGTAGAACACATATTCATCAAATTGCCAATTTAATGTTAAATACTATATAGATTATCACAGAAAATGAAATATTCATGGTCCTTGCCTTCATGGAACTTATATTCTAGTGATTACATCGTTAATTTAAAGATATTATTCACTGTACTGAAAAGTTCCAAGCTAACTTGTGTTTGTTTAAGTTTAAAGTATAAATTTTTAATGATAAGTTACAAAACAAGAAAACAGGTATTTAAATATCTTTAGGGATTTGTTCTTATTAGAGAATGAATGTAAAATTTAGTTTCTTCTCAGTTTAACAGGAGAGCAAAAAATACTCCTCTTTTTGAATGAGGTGACCTTGTATCTTTTTAATCTTACTACATACATTGTCTCCTTTGAGAGCACAGACTTGGTTTTAATCATTAATTTTCAAGAAGGCTGCATATGTTCTTTTTTGTGTATATATGTATACATACAAGAGTAAAAACTATGAGTTCTACTACATCATCTCCAGATTGCATAGTAGAGAGATAATCTTGTTGATTAATTGGTGCTATTGGCAGTGAAATAATAGCATTTCTAAATATATGGCTTTTGAAAAGTATGATAAGATCTGAGAATGAAACTGAATGAACTTGAATTGAGCAGGCATGTTGGTAATGAAAGAATGAAGAGAATATGAAGAAATATCACAGGAAAATACATGAAGATGTGTGGGATGTATGAACCTACACACTCTGTTAACTGGGCAAGACAGTCCAAGATTAGTACACTCAAGGAGTAGGAAACGATATATTAGACATTACCAAATATGGTATCAAGACATATCTGAATGCCAAAAATTTCTATTTGGCCTGGTTGTAATTTATGAATAAATGTTAAAAGGCCATGAAAAGTGATATCTCTCTAACTCTGCAGATTTGGAGTTGAATTTCATTAAGTTTCTAGTTCTCTTTCTCATTCACTTCTGTTATCTCTACAATTTAGCTGACAGTTACTCAATTGGGTAATCCATGTTTCTTCCTTTTTCCATTCTTGATCAGTTTATCTCTCAGGTTTTTGGATTATATTGGAATTTTACTTTATATGTCTGCTGATGCCTTTAATAAACATAATTCTGTATGTTGTGCAATGTATTTTCAGTACTGGCTATATTTTTAGGCAAAGTTTTGCTTAATTTTTTTTTTTTAAAGATTTTATTTATTTATTTATTTATTTGACAGTAAGAGAGAGACAGCGAGGGAGGGAACACAAGCAGGGGGAGTAGGAAAGGGAGAAGCAGGCTTCCTGCCAAGCAGGGAGCCCGATGCGGGCCCGATCCCAGGAACCCTGCGATCATGACCTGAGCCGAAGGCAGATGCTTAACAACTGAGCCACCCAGGAGCCCCTGCTTAATTTTAGACTTAAATGACATCCTCAACAAGGAGCTTTAGGTCACTAATAACAGCTATACCTCTCATGTAATGTAAAGGTTGGGGACAGAACATTTGTTGGAGAGCACCTAATAGAACCCCTTCTGATTTAACAAAGCCTGAGTTTGTTGCTGTTCATAGCTTAATACAAAGTAGATCTTCAGAGTGACCTTTTCTTTTTTTTTTTTGAAGATTTTATTTATTTATTTGCCAGAGAGAGAGAGAGTGAGAGCACAAGCAGGGGGAGCGGCAGGCAAGGGAGAAGCAGGCCTCCTGCTGAGCAGGGAACCCGATGTGGGACTCGATCCCAGGACCCCGGGATCATGACCTGAGCCGAAGGCAGACGCTTAACCGATTGAGCCACCCAGGCGTCCCCAGAGTGACCTTTTCTTTGCATATACACAATCCTGTTTAAATCCCCAAGTCTTTCTTTATATTTTTAATATGAAGAATTTCTCTAGTTCAATTCATCTGAGTGTTTTTATTGATAAATTGTATAGACAGGTAAAATATAGAAATCATTTGTTGTATTTAAATATTGTAGCTGTTTTAGTTGTTTGTTATGACTTATGTGAGTATATATATAACCAAAAATAGTAGTACTGAATATATTGTGCTTAACTTTTTAATAGAAACTATGAGTATCATACAGTACTGTACATAATTATCTTATGTACTGCTACCTTGTAAGCATGCCCATGTGATAAAGTACCTTTTGTTCTAGTAATACAAGATTTGCCTTAAGTGGAAAAGATCCTATGTAAGTTATTTACCCAGTAGGCAAGGCTAAAACACAACCAAATATTTATTTAGAATTGATACTCTGTAGAAGTTTAGTTAATTTAGGTAAGTCCTTTGAACATAAAATATTTTTCCTGGGAAAATTTATTTTTTCCTAGAGACAGAAATCTTTAGTTGTTTTCTAAAGCAGATGACATATAAGCCCAAGGCAGTGCTTAACCCATAAATTACATAGGGGTCACATTTTGGAAACTTTAGCTTTTTTGTATCCCAGTGGAATAGTCTTTGGTTTTCTTACCAAAAGACTTATGTGTTGATTCGTTTCCTTTACCAATATGACAATTTCCTGCACACATTTAGTGCTTTGGGCAAGATTATAATATGTTAACTAAGATGTTTTTACTAATGCTTTTTTAATTAAGAAAATTAAAATTTTAGCTATTTTTATAGCCTAGCTTGTTATCCAAAAATAATGTATTATTTGTGTTGTTGGACGCTTTGGCTGTTCTTGTCCATTATTAGGCAATATTAGTTTCCTGTAATCTGAAAATACTGTCTTAACTAATCTGGGTTGTATGTTTACATCTTTAACCACCTTCTGCTTATGGCGTGCACTAGAGCATTGAATGATACCTGGTGTTTTTTTCTATTAACCAGAACATGAGGTTTTTAATTGTGAACAGTATTTTAGCTTTACCTATTCATAGAATGTATTTGTTTGACTAACTTATGGCCTTTTTTGCTAACGCTTCATGGTTGTCCTACAACCATTTAGGACGCTGCATTGGGATACAGATCCATCAGTTCTTCAGCTTCACTCAGATTCCGATTTGGGGTATTGAATAGATTTTTTACCTTCCCTCTTTTATAATTAATTTGATTCTTTGTGAAATTGTCCTAATTTTATTTAAGTTTCTAATGTACATTATACGGTTAGGAAAAGGAAAAAGTTAATATTTTACTGTGACACCTCATTTATCCTCTATCATTAGTGAAAGAGATATTTTATGTATCTGATTTTCTAGGTTCCCTAAGTTTACCCATTAAGTGTCCAAAGTCCTTTGATTATGTCTGTATTTTTGATGTGAAATTTTCTAAGCTGTATTACAAACTTCCCAGACTTTTTTCTGATACGTATTCTACATATAATTGAACCTTTTCTGGGTTACTTGATAAAAATATTAATTTATTTTCCTGTATTAAAATTTCCTGATGTTTTCTTAGGTTTTTAAGAGGAACAGAGCTGTTGGTCATCTACACTGTGGCCCCAGATTGCTATTGATTTATTCTTTAATTCATTTATTCACTCATTTATTTATTCTAGTCTCCAGTGCAAATTATATTTGTTGTTGCCATTGTGCCTTACTCAGATAGTAATTTGGTAATTTGCACCTTCTAAATCATGTGACCAACACCTTTTGGAATTATGTCTAAAGTAAGAGTAAATAAGCCTTGAATTAGGGCATATAAGAAAAGTATATGAGCTTCTTGTACATTAACAGGAAGCTTCTCTGTTGGCTGCCCTGAGACTCCCCCCACTCCTAGTTGCTTTTTTATTCTCAGGAAAAGTGGCTTTTGGATAAGTGAGGTATTACCTCCCTACCCTTCTACCCCTAAATCTTAGAGTATTTTGTTTGTTTGTTCTAATGTGATTTTTGTCTAATTAGACCCTATATGCAGCCAAGTTAGTAACTTATTCTTAAGGTTCTTGGCTTGGCCATTTTTTCCCAGATATGTGAGTGTTTAACTTTTTAAGTAGTTTGTATCTTAAAATTCAGAATACAGTGTTTCTTATTTTAAATTTTATTCTTAGAATACGAGATTACTTCAAATCTGCTTAAGTTTTCCCATTTAATTCTTTGATAATGCACCTTTTTTTCCCTTTAAAGCTAAGATATTCCTAAAGTGGAAAACACATTAAAAATTTATTATAGCCCACATTTGGGACCTTAGAGAAAACTAATCCATTCAATGTACTAATTTTATTATAATTTTTTGTATAGGATTTTGAAAGTGTTTTATAATAGTTATTATTACATATATGTATATATTTCAGGTATCCTGCTTGATATTCTGAAGTTACAGCAATGCTTTTATTAGATATCCTTTTAAGATAGTCTTATAATTGAGAACTTCTTTGGGAGCTTGTAAGCATACTGTATTATTTGATTTACCATTTAGATATCTAATAAATCAAGAAAAGATCCATATATCTAATAAAAGATATTTTTCTTTTGATCGATTTTCCTCAGCTATAATTCTCTTCTTCTCTTTGTCAAAGAAGAATGTATTCCCTCTATTTAAAACAGAAGTGACTTTAATAGTTTTATTGTATTCAAAATATCTGTCGCTTTAATTCAGGTGTCGAATATCTGCATTGTAGTTTGTCCGTATATGAATCAAGGACAGTACTGACCATGCAGAGATTAGAGATTTAAAAGTTTAAATATTTCATTTTAAAATCTAAATTGACTTTATGATTCTCAATTTCTGCAAAGTATAAGTAGAAAAAAGGTTTTCAACAGAAACTTATTTTTCATTCTTAAAGCTTAAGTCTCCTAATGGTGAAGGAAACTAAATGTGGTCTGAGATCCATGTATCTGCCTCTTCAAAAAAGTCTGGAATCAATATCCCTTCTAAGAAGAGTTCTATAACCAACCATATTTAGTAGTCCACTCTGAAATTCCTATCGTCCTAGTCTATTATTACCCACACATTTGCTCTAAGAAATTAAATTATTTGCCTTTTTAAAGTGAAAAACAAACATCTTGAATGATTCAGAAATATCTTTTGTTTTTCCTATCTTCTAAATTCTTTTGTTAAAATAAAGCCAATTCATTGTTCATCTAAAATTTCTTGAATAAAACAGGGATTTAAATTACAGTGTTGGATACACAATGTTTAATTCTTAATTTTCCAAAAAACATGGTTTGATGTAGTTAAAATGTTTCATTTGTTGTATTTAAAAACATTTGTCTTCACTTTATTTAGACGAGGACCTATTAAACTTGGAATGGCTAAAATTACACAAGTTGACTTTCCTCCTCGAGAAATCGTCACATATACAAAGGAAACTCAGACTCCAGTTATGGCTCAACCCAAAGAAGGTGAATATCTATCCTTAATATGATGATCATTAAATTCCCATATTGAATAAATAGATTCTTTTTTTTCTCTTTCTTTTTTGGCATATTTTCTAAGGGAAACATCGTAAAACTAATGCTTTAAGGTTTCTGTATTGATGTATTTGTTTCTTAGAGTTTTAAACCTTTTTCTTTTAGAAGTTAATAAAAGTATAAACTGTATATATGGTTTTTAATTTTGTTGACATAAACTTAAGTTTTTAATCTTCATTTTGTCATTGATATGTGATGCTTTAGAATCAGAAAAGCTTAGGAATGATCTATGTCTCTGTCACTGAGCACAATCCTTCCTAAAAGAATGTATCACACAGTAAATGAAACCATGTAAATTATTTTCTTTAGAGCATATGATATTCTGATATGCTGTCATTCTTATCCATATTTATGAACACATCTAGATCTAATTCTAAAACTTTTCCTTTTATGATCTAAGGGCTCTATTATGTTGATTTCATAAGCAGCCTTTAATTTGTGTGTAACAGAGAGATGTATACACAGACATTATACTGAATGTCGAGTCTTTTTATTCTTTTGTTTTTAAGATCTATTTATTTATTTTAGAGAGAGAGAGAGGAGGAGCAGGGGCGTAGGGCAAGGGAGAGAGAGAATCCTCAAGCAGTTTCCCTGCTGAGCGCAGACCCTGACATGAGGCTCAATCCCAGGACCCTGAGATCATAACCTGAGCTGAAATCAAGAGTTGACCACTTAACTGACTGAGCCATCCAGGTGCCCCAGGAGTCTTTTGATTCTTTTTTTTTTTTTTTTGACAGAGACACAGCGAGAGAGGGAACACAAGCAGGGGGAGTGGGAGAGGGAGAAGCAGGCTTCCCGCTGAGCAGGGAGCCCGATGCGGGGCTCGATCCCAGGACCCTGGGATCATGACCTGAGCCAAAGGCAGATGCTTAACGACTGAGCCACCCAGGCACCCCAAGTCTTTTGATTCTTAAACCAGGAGTTACCATTTTTACATTGGGGACTAATTTTTATTTTTATTTTATTTTAATTTTTTTTTAACATTTTATTTATTTATTTGAGAGAGAGAGAGAGCACCACTGGGGAGAGGGGCAAAGGGAGAGGGAAAGGGAGAAGCACACTCCTCAACTGAGCAAGGAGCCCGATGTGGGGCTCGATCCCAGAACCCTGGGATCATGACCTGTGCTGAAGGCAGAAGCTTACCTGACTGAGCCACCCAGGCTCCCCGGGGACTAATTTTTAAAATCTCATCAGATAGTTAATGATTCAAGCATAAAGTTAATATGATAGCTCTTGTTTTTTTCCAGTTAGGCTAATAAATTATGTCACACATAAAAGAGATTTACTTAATAGCCCTAATACAGGTCCATAATTCCTTACCTGAAACCTTTGAAGCCACATATGTATTTGAATTCAGAATTTGTCAGTGTTCAGAAAAGTTACTAGTAAAGTCTATGTACTGTAAGTAAACACTCCAGCAGCAACTTGGACATTAATATTTTGGCAGCAGAAGATATGAATATTCAAACTAAGTAAGATAAATAATGATTATAAATAGCTTTACCTCTGGTCATGTCAAGGTTTACCACCAAATGAGCTATGGATTTTAGAGTTGTTGATATTTTGCACTGCGGTCCAATAATAAATTTTCCTTTTAGCAGTCTGTGCATAAGGAATGTTTTTTCTCTTTGGCCAGGAAAATTTATTCCTGTTTAACTATGGAATATCAAACATTAAAACTTTGTTTATCAAATATTTAAATTAATTAGTTTTAAAATTTCAGTTTCATTACCACATTTCTCCATTAAGGAGAATCAAAAACAATATTCACTTCAGAAAGCCCAGAAAATACAGGTAAGCAAAAAGGAGAAAAAAAATCCTTGGAGCACCTGGGTGGCTCAGTTGGTTAAGCATCCAACTCTTGATTTTGGCTCAAGTCATGATCTCAGCGTTGTGCAATCGAGCCCATGTCCCAGCATGGAGTCTGGTTAAGATTCTCTCTCCCTCTCTCTCTCTGTCCCTCCCGCACCCCCCAAAAGAATCCTTGAAACCTTTAGCTGTTACCAAAGAAAATCTTTAAATTTTCATTTTTATATGTACCTCAAAAGAAATTAGGATTATACCTATTTACAATCTATGTACTTTTTAACAACTCTCCTTTCCCTGTCCACTAAGGATGGAAGTGAAATAAATACCTTAAACTTTTCTGTTCACTTTCATCTTGTTCCCCAAAGAGTTGACATTATCATACATACTATTACACTTCAAAAATTTTGAGGAAATCAGGGTAACATTTTTATCTAGGTTCTTTTTTTTTTTTTTTTTTTACTTGATCATGTGAATGTTCATTTCTTTCATTCCTACTTGCTCCATTGATTGGTAAAATAGCTTTCACAGGAGGAAAATCCTCGTCTTACTAGAAAAAAAAGCCACTGATGGTAATCATGAGACATAAGCAACTTAAACAAAAAAAAGGAAAGATGAAGTGTTGAATTAACAGTATGGAGAACACTGCAGGATTCCATAATTTCTGGAAAATAATATTTTATTAATCAGTATATTCAAGTATTTTAATGTCTGTCTTTCTGAAGCTACATTATTATATATGTTAACTCAAAAAAGTGAGCAAAATAGCCAAAATGAGGGCACAATGACTCATTTAAAAAGTATATTAGGCTGGTTTTCTTCATCTAGTAATTTGGAGATTTATTTTTAGTTATTCCATCATACTTATGCAATGCATTTTGGATTGTTTGAAATGTAAAGCATTCTGAAGTTATTTGGGGTAATGCCTATCATATTCAGTTTAAGTGAAGAATTCCTTTTTTTTAAATAATTTTTTTCTAACTATTAGAGTAGTATATCATGGAGAATTTAGAAAATACAGAGAATGAAACTAGGCCACTATCTTCCATCATATACAAAAATAAATTCAAAATGGATTAAAGATTTCAATGTAAGACCTGAAACCATAAAACTCCTGGAAGAAAACATAAGCAGTAAGCTCTTTGACATCGTCTTAGCCATACATATTTTTTTAGACCGGTTTCCTCAGGCAAGGGCACCAAAGGCTAAAATAAACAGATGGGATTACATTAAACTAAAAAGTTTTTGCGAAACCATCCACCAAACTAGAAGGCGATCTGTTGAATGGGAGAAGAACTTGGCAAATCATACACCTGAGACGGGGTTAATATCCAAAATATATAAAGAACTTAGACAATATAAAAAAAAACCCAATTAAAAGATGGGCAGAGGACTTGAATAGATATCTTTCCAAAGAAGACCTACAGATGGTCAATAGACACATGAAAAGATGCTCAACATCATTAGTCATCAGGGACATGCAAGTCAAAACTATAGTGAGATATTACCTCATACCTGTCAGATTGGGTAGTATCAAAAAGAAAAAAAATAACAAGATTTGGTGATGATGTAGAGAAAAGGGAACCCTTGTACACTGTTGGTGGGAATGTAAATTGGCGCAGCCACTCTAGAAAAGAATATGGAGGTTCCTCAAAAAATTAAAATGGAATCACCATACAATCCAGCAAGTCCACTTCTGGGTATTTATCTGAAGAAAACAATCTTCAACCAATAGTTGAAGATACAGAAGCAGCCTAAGTGTCCATAGATAGATGAATGGGTAAAGGAGATGGAATATTACTCAGCCATAAAAAGAATAAAATATTGCCATGTGTGACAACATGGATGGATCTAGAGGGTATTATGCTAAGTGAAATAAGTCAGATAGAGAAAGACAAATACTGTATGTAGAGTCTAAAAAACAACCAAAAAACCAAGCAGAACAGAAACAAGATTCATAGATACAGGAAACAAACTGTTGGTTGTTACCAGAGTGGGGGCAGACATTGGGGGTGGGTGAAATAGGTGAAGGGGACTAAGAGGTACAGACTTCCAGTTATAAAATAAGTCATGAGGATATAATGTACAGCATAGGGAATATATTCAGTAATATTACAATAACTTTATATGGTAACAGATAACTAGACATATTGTTAGGGTCATTTTGTCATGTATAAAAATACCAAATCTCTATGATGTATACCTGAAACTAACAGGATTTTTGTGACAATTATACTTCAATTAAAAAATACAGAAAGGATATAAAGGAAATGTCATGATTTCATTGTGTAATAACCACTGTTAATATTTTATTTCCAGTTTTCTAGAATGTATTTTTTCAAAAATTCTCTCTGTATATATACACACATAAATATATATATACACATATGATTTTATATCCTATTTGAAATGTGCATTTTTAATTGCTTATTTTGAGATATGTGTAAATATTTAAATATTAACATGTAACTTATTGCCATTGAACTAATTTGAGTGTATAGCTGTATAAGACTAGCATTTTTAAAAAAAATTCTTTTCCTATTTTTATTTTGTAAGTAACTAAAAATGTGAAAGATCATGATTTGTTAGATAAGCTGATGATCCAGAAGCACAAGATAAACTCTGTTCTTTTCAGTTTTAAATTATTTAGGGCAAGGCTTTTAGCATCACCAAACTTTAACTTCTTTGCCAGATTTTCTCTGAGTATAGAGACTGTTTCTTCTTCATTGCTGTAATGCCTGCCTGGTTGAATAGTGCCTGGCATGTAGTAAGAACATAGTATTTGGCGAAGGAATTAATTGCTTTTATCTACTAAGGAGAATAATTTTGCTTACTTGCATTGTTTATTGTCATGCATTTACTCTGGAAGTAACTACTGGGAATAGGTTATTTTCAAGTGTTAATGGGCTACAGTATAATTATTGATGTAACTGGGTGAAAAAGTATGATTAGTCTCAGTTTTTGGTTTTAATATGACTATATCATAGTCTAGTCTTTATTTGCTCTTATATCCATAAATGAAACCATTATAGATTCTCCTTAAAGCCTTCTTGAGTTCCATGTTGACAAACTATGTAGATACAAATGTGTTGTTATTTTGTGTTCTATGTATCCCTCTGAATGCT